CAGTAGCACAGGACTGTCTGAGGAGCCACGCTAGCTGTGGACTCAAGGCTACTGAAACACAGCCTTTCTTTCCCTCTCTCTGAGGTGTAAAGTGTGTTTCTCTCCATTTAACCTTCCCATCCCAACTTCTGATGTAAGAAGTAAACAGCAGATGATCTGACTGCTTCCAGAATCTCAGTGGCAGATCTCTTTTCTTGGCCTTTGGGGAAGCCCAGCGAAGGCGCTTTGCACCTCGCAGGGCACAGCAGCGCTCCTGGAGCTGTGTCAGCTAAAGCTTTGTGAGAGCTCAAGCCCTGTCCTTCTAATGCTCAGCTGTTGGACACTCATTGTGCCCCAGGTAGCTGGGGATGCAGTGAATTTGTAAAGTTGAGCTCTTTTCTGATCTCTGTTATTTCTATAGCCAGAGGGGGTTTCTTCTTGTGTGATTTATACAGAATAACTTGAGGTACATGTTACTATTGCTTTGTTGTTACCTGACACACTTCAGTGAGGTTTTCTCCTGCTTTGATTAGTGAGAAAATGATTTTTTGGAGAAAAGCCCATGAGAATACCCTTTCTAGTGACAAAACTGATTTAAAAGAGGACTAAAAGAAGGAAGTAGTAGCACATAGAGCAATTTGAAATAACGGATCACTGCAGCCAGAACATTTGATGAGAAGAATTCTATTGTGTGGAAAAAGTTATAGAAATATATTGGTGTGGTAGAAATAGATCAAAATAAAGGAAGGATTTTTAAATTTTAATCACCACTATTTATGTTTTTCAGCATATATTTTTTATTCTAACAAGTGACTTCTTTATTTCTACTATAGTATCAGCCAATCACTATGTTACTTCATATACAAGCGAGAATAAAATCATCCCCTTTTCCTATTGTTGGCTTATTAATATCACTATTCCTTGTGAAAAAGAAGAAATGTGAAGGAAGAAATATTTTTTCATCTTTTACTAGCTTCAAGCTACAAGATAATCATGTCTAGATAGGGTAAGATTCTTTAGGGAGTTAGACTACGAGATAAAAAATTCTCTGCAGACTAGAAAACATACTTGGCAAGAAAGATTTAAATTACAAGTCTCTTCCATGCTACATAGAATAACTGCACAAACGCTTTAAATCTGGAATTATGCTTTCAAAACCTTTAACACAATAAAGACCCGTAGTGAGATTCAGCAGTGATAATGCAATGAATAACAAAGCCAACGAAAATACAACTGCTGATAAAATCATCAGGCAGATGGGGCTATCTGTACTGAGGATACAGGGCATGTGTGTGCTTTATATCTTCACTTAGCAGGTTCTGTTACATTCTATTTATGTTCCCTAGAGCTTTAAATTAAGAGTAGATTCTTTTAGAACTGGTAGGTTTTCCCATTTTAGTTTACATGAGAGGATGCAGTTAGTTTTCAAAAAAGCGGTAGCCTATAAACTAACCGGCCAATACGTATTTATTCCCATAATTTTTTCAGTTTCCTCTGTTGCAGAGGGATAGCTTCTGTGATGCCAGGTCCTGCAAGGTGAAGATGTGACTGGGATTTTTAGGAGACAAAGCTCAGCACAGATTTCTTACCTGACCACACCATTGAGGCATATTTTTACCACAAGGGATTTGAAGGACTTTTTTCTATTTGCATTTGTCTCATCTCACGTGTACCTAAGGTACCTTGTGCACTGTCATCTTTTCCCCTTTGTGCACTGTTCACAGCTGCTCTCAGCAGTTCTTTTGGACCTCCTGGTGTCTCACATTCCCAGGAGTCTGGTGCCAGGCAGGTTTTACCAGCTGCCTTTAGGAGCAGCACAGCCTTTGCTGTCCATTACCTGTCGGGTGTGCTGTGTTCACCATGTGTTACTTGTATGGCCTTTCTTAGCCCCCAGAGAACTGAAACTCTTGCCAGGCTGGTATCCTTTCCCTTCCCAGTGTGGTCTGATCCTGCCTGTGACTACTTACAATGCTTCTGTCCTTTGCATCTTCCCTTCAGCTTCCCCATTCTGCATCAGACATACCCCACTTCTCTGCTCTGAAACTACCAATTATCTCTTCTACTAGCAGTGTGCTGAAGAGAGGTTTTGCTATTGAGAGCTTTCTGACAAGAGCTTCCCAAAAACTCCCAGTGCAATTTTGCTGTGTCTTTTCAGATCCTTTAAAACCATATGCTGCTAAAGGAAACTCTTGCAAAAAAATAAGACTCTGTTGAGCTGCATCTAAAGTTCTTCCTGAGCATTATAAAATTTTTGTGTATATAGTAATTACTTTTTAAAGGCCTTAGGAGAGGACTCTCTTTTTTTCCCTCTACATGTAAACAGCAGGATGTCCCAGTCCCAGAGTAGCCTTCCTAGAGAGCAGCTTTATAAACAAACTCACTGGAACCTTCCAGCAGTACAGACAGCCAGTTTGCTTTCCAAACTCCTTTCCTCAATGACAGCAGAACTGTGGTAGTAAAAAACTGGACCCTGCACAAATGGAGATTCTTCACCTCCACTTTTCTACACCAACAAGCTTCAAAATCCAGTCCGGCTTCAAAAATCTAAGGACAACTGAATGCTCAGAATAATTAAAGCCTTGAAGAGTTTTTGTTTTGGTTCTTCAGTGTCTGTTATTTACTTTTTATTTTAGTTAGTTTTGCCAGTTTAAAGGGGGTTTTTTGTTTTGTTGTGCTGAGATTTCACATGGTTTGTGTGGTTTACTTGCTGCTTCATACTGGAAATTGTGGTTGTTAAAGTTCAGTTTCCCAGAAGATTCTTGCTTCAGCAATTCAAATATTTATATGGTGTCTCCTCTACTGTGTAATGACAGCATTCTATGTAGCATTTTTTAGTGATGAGGCACTTTGTAAGTGCCAGACTTGCGTAATCTGGAAAATTCTGAATTCTCATGTTGTTCATTACATTACTGTTTTTCTCTTTTCCTGCTGAAATGGTAAAATACTTTCTCTGACTTGATGGGCTCCTCCCAAGACTTAAAAAAAAATGTTTGGGTGTAGAAAATGTCAGGTCTCCTGCAGCAAAGCTAATCTGTGTTTTATTTTTCTGTTTTCTTACTTCATTATTGTTCCAAATCTATGACAAATCAGTTATTCAAAAACATTTTTTGAAGAACCAAACCATCACTGAGTCCAACTGAGAAGTTTTCAGCAACTTTTAATTACTGATCAATTTAGATGCAATTTGTTTATAAAGTATAATGTCTCTAATCATCTACTTTCCGATAACACAAATACATTGCTGAATTTTAAGATTTATTCATGACAAAAAGAAGCTGATAAGGAGGTAGGACAATTCCAAGGCAACTCCCTGCTCTGTCCTGATTCTATGGAGCTTCTAGAACAGACAGGTGTATACCTAGATGCAAAAAAATGGCATTGTTTGGGACACTTTGTCACCCAGCACAATTCATATGTTCAAGACACAAAGCTAGAGGGACAGAGGGAAAAGATTTTGACTTCAGAGGATAGGATTAAGGCCAGACTTCCATCACCCAGGACAGGACCCACAGCACCTGGTACCACATGATACCTTCACATTCACCCACATTCCAACTGCCTAATTTAATGAATAATGGCTTATTATGAGCAAGGTGGAGCAGCTTGTAGGAACTGGGACCTAGTTTGGCATGCTCTTAGTCCAGGAAAAATGAAGGACAATGGGGTAAAGCAGGGGGAAGAGTATCTCTGGTCAAACCTGCAAGTAGGTTTAGGCAATTATTTCTGAAGATATGGCTGTGCTCACTTCCATTAATATGGCTTTGGATACAATTGAAAATTGGGAGAGCAGCACCACAGTCAGGTTTCGAAGGACTCATTCCTTAATGCTGACAAATTTTGCTGGGGATAAAAAGACTAAGTTCACTGCAAGGTCTTGAGTGGTTGTTTTTTGGGAAGGGAGAGAAAGTGAGCCCATCAATCAAGAAAACCCACAGCTGGATGCAGTGTTTTAGGACAATTGCTGGGGAACTGTTTGCTAAAGAGCTTTAGTAAATATGTACACAAATAATTCAGGGCCATGGGGAAGGCTCTGGTGACCTGTCTGCTTCTCTCCTTGTGCAATACAGTGAGCTTGGTGAAGTATCTGAAAGTGATCTGTAATTACCTCTCAGGCTGTTTGTTAATTACACTTTTTCTGTCCCTCAGATCTGTGTTTATGTGACTTTGGGAGCACCTCAGCAGGACAGCTGAGGGCAAAACTAGCTCAGGATGAGCATGCATGGAACTTGAATGATTGAATGTTTGAATGATTGCTTTAGAGTCTGAAGTTAGAAGAGCACAGTTGTTGATTTATGTGTTTGTGGAACAGGCATTGAATGCAGTGGGGTTTATTATTAACTAGACTGAACATGAATAATACTGTAAAAATCTGCAAAAGGTTCTAACAGCAATAAAATCTCTTTTCCAAGTTATTTCAAGATCATCATTGGGATGCATATCTCAGAGAGCACTGCCTAGTTACATACACCAGTGATAACATTTCCTGTGAAACTAGTGAGGCTGTAGCAGTGCACTTCAAAGCGTGACTTTGTTGGCTCCCTGTCACTGTGAGAACTGTGTTAAATATGCCCATTAGAGACCTTATGTGGAACTGAGTGCTGCTAACATTTAAAAGCTGATAGAATAAAACAATTCATTTAGAAATACAGAGCAAACTACAGAGCTGATAATAAAACTGCCTTTGTTTAAATGTTCTACATTAGACAAATTTGTCTTAATAATGTCTTCTTAAGCTTACCTTATCTTCCCTTTTGAAAAATAAACAGCCCAAACCATTGTTCTCTGCTAAGAGCAGAAGAAAATTACCCAGAAAACCTTTGATTTGGAATTATCTCTGACATTTCATTACAATATTTGACAGTTTAACAGGAAATAGAATTTTTATATGATACCAGTTTATGTTCACTATTCACGTGATACATTCATTGAAAAGAAGCTGAAGAGAATAAGAACTGAAAAAGAAATTAAACATACGTATTAAATACTCTGTCTGAACACCAGTCTTATCTTTGCCCTGACAGGTTGATAATGTATGGCTTTGTGAAGGCCATGGTACATATTGGCCAATTAAAGCAATGGGAATTCCACTTCACTGACTGTTTATTTTTTGGATCGCTGATGTCTGCCACAGATCCAGGTAACCATTTCAAATAAATTACTTTTTCAAAAGTCAGAAGAGTAAGTAAGAACTGTATGTGTCATAGAAATATTCAAAGTCTCTTTTCTTGTTTTTTTTTCTTTCCTTAGCTGTTAAATAGCTGATATTCTGATAATCATAAGTCAATCAAAGTCAAAGTCAGCTCCAGAGCTCTCTTGTGGGTTTTTTAGTAGGTTGTTTTCCTAGGTTGAGATCACAAACTTTATAATTGAGGTTGCTGAAAAAGATTGGGAAAATGTTCTCTGATCTTCAGGACACCACCTGTTGCTTGCTGATATGAGAATTGCTGTAAGCTGGAGCCTCACAGATAAAAATCACAACCTCACCATCCACATGTGACCTAACCCAGTTTAAAGATAGGGGGAATGGAGCATTCAAGTTTGGCCATATAAATGCTGTTTATATGGTATCAATGAAGTGTTCATGATAAATACAACTCTAGAAAACCAGATACCAAGAAAATTACTTGAATTTGCAGATGTGAGATTTAAAGCCCAAAGCTGCAGTAAATGGCAAAGTCTGGGAAGCAGACTCAGTCAATTTTGGAATCACAGAATTACAGAATCATTTATATTTGGAGGGATGTCTGGAGGTCTTCTAGTCCAACCTTCTAATTAAAACAGTCTAAACTCAAAGTTAGACTAGGTTTCATAGATTTGTCCAGGTTTTGCTACATTGAAAACATCAATAAGAGTACTCAGATATAAAAAGAAAATGTTGCTATTTGCAGCTGTGGGAACACAGTAAAGGAGAAGGTGAACAGAATTTTTTAGAGGTTATCTACTAAGACAAAGTACAAATTCTGCAAGGGTTCATTGGATTTTACAAAATTTTCAGCTGAGCTGTTAAAGGAGACACAACAGAAAACATTTTGTGATGCATGTGAAATGGTGCATTAGTGTTAAAAAACTACCCTTGAGAAGCTTCTCTGAGAGAGTTAGCAATAAAGCTTTCAAATTCCTGGCTTTTAAAAGAAATGAGAAAAAGCAATATTGCTCTACAAATTTTTTCCAGTCTTTAAATGAATTCTCAATATTTAACAAAAGATTTTGGGCTTGTGATTTATCATTCTGACAGCTCAAAAGTACAGTATAAAACAATTTATTTCCACAAAAACAGTTTTTGCAAGATTACTGTAAAAGCTGCATCAAATTGTTATTCTCAAATTAATCCACACATCCAATATGCTGCCACTTCTTAGATCACCCAGCTATATTAATAAGATTCAGCACATGATTGAAGCATATCCTCAGAGCAAGAGAAAAACACAGAAGTTGGAAGCAGAAGGAAAACCTAGGAAAATAAACTGCTTATGGAATAAAAGCGTCCTTGTAATTTCCAAGTATATTTCTTAATAGTGCTATGAATAGAGTTTTGCAGCTGGCTTAGTTTCTTTTCCCATTTCCCAGTCCAAGACTATTTAGTTTCACAAATGTTGACTTATGACGAGTAATGTATAAGACAAATGCACTGATTTTGATTATAAGAGTAATAAATCACCACTGATTAATCTGGAACAATCAAGAGGAAAAAAAAAGTCAACAAAGCAGAAGCTCCCCTTGCACTGTAAGGAATAAGTTAAAAGGATTACTTTTCCTAGAGTTTTAAACAGACTTGAAAAGCTAAAGCTGCAGCTGAGAAAACTATTTTTAGTATGACAAACTGTCATTGATTAATATTGTTTCTAATTACTTCTCTGCTTATATAGTGTCTGTGCATATCCAAGAGTTCAGTCTTGCTCCCTCTGCTATCAATTCACAATATTCTAAGTTGTTTCATGTGTTCACTAATCTCATCCATAAATTTCAACCCCTCAGAGACTTAAGAGAATTTTGAATTAAGTTTTTCATTAATTAAATGGTCGTCACTGCTGAAAATATTTCATTGTGTTGTAGGACTTGCTAGTGAATTATAATCTCAAGTATGTAAATAGCTCACTGACATTGCAAAATCATTCCAAAGTTCCCTAGAGGCCTAATATGTATTAGGGCCTAAAATAACCAGTATAAAGATTTTATCTGTGATAACTAGGGTTCATTTTGGTGTTTTTAAAGAAATTTTTAGTAAAATGTTGTTAGTGCTATCAACAATAAGTTAGTCTTAAGATGAAATAATAAATTCCTGTCAGATTTGCTGCATGATTTTTTAATTTAATTCTTCACTGTGTAGGATTATAAACTCATTTCAAAAAGAGATTTAATTTCCCTTGGCTGTGGAAAGCAATTAAGTCTCAAAAGATGCTAAAAACTGATCTGTTGACTTGACAGAAGTTGGTTTGATTGAGCTCCTTATTTGTGATAGTACAGATGACTGGTAGGTGTTTACGTGTTAAATAAAGACTTTTACTGTCAGGCCAGGTAAAATTTTCTAATATTGTTAAGAAGAAGGAAATAATGTCACAGCACTCTGTAGGTTTGAGCTCTGAAGTTTATCTGAAAATTTTTAATCTAGCTATTTTGGCATAAAAGTAATTCATAAGAATTGTTCTTTCATGCTGTGCGTTCTTTTACATAGAAAACTAGGACGTGAACTAAGATTAAGAAATTAATTTCTGACTGGATATACTTGGGACTGTGTTTTGCATTACAGACTTTGATCCTTAAATATCAGCAATACTGTGCGATGCCTCAAAAAACTTTTATGTCTCTAGAAAGGACAGTTAGAAACTCCAGGGATAAAACAAGGTTACTCTCGACCAAATAATTCATCTTACAGAGAACATCTCCTTCCAATAATTATCCTTTTCAATAGAGAAAGTTTCTCATTTTAAGACTTCAGGTGAGAGGTTAAATTTTAAGAAATAGCACTTTAAAATTTCTAAGTTATCCCTTCATTATTCTTGATTTAAAGCATGAGACCATTATTTACATTTTTCTTTATTCTGATCAATAGGCATAATTTATCACATTCTCAAGGAAATCATGCCTTATTGTTTCATCTGCATGAACCAGCACAGATTTCCCTGTCTCAGTGTAGAGGGGTTTTCCTTGTGTCAGTGCTGGGGTTTGGTTTGTGATGGACCCTGACCCTGGCCGTGTTTTGGTGTGACCCAAGGGGCAGCTCCTCGCTGTGCTCTGCCCGGCAGCAGCAGAGGAAAAGGTGATGCTGTGCGCTGCCAGCTCTCCGTCCCTGCCCTCCAGAGCGCTGCCAAGGGCAGCTGCACACCTGGAACTGTGCGGGCTGGGACTGGCAGCAGCCTCAGGGTGCCCGTGCTGCAGGGGGATAATGAACAGAGCAGTCCTGGCACAGGGATGGGAACAGGGCACCTCTGCCCCAGCCGCCCAAAATACACAAACACTGCAACTCTGGCAGCCTCCAGGACTGCTGCTAGTAACACCTGGGCAATGACCTCCCCATCCAAAGACATTTCACAGACCTTTAGCCCTTCCTTTTGTTTATTTTACTAATTTTTGACATTTGGAGTACAGAAATCCGATTTACCTTCCCAGGGTTTGCTGAAGCACAGCTTCAGCTGTTTCTGAGCTCTGTGAGCTCCCTTACCTTTGCTCACATTGACAATGAAACAGCTCTTCCCTATTTGAAGTTACTATGGTTACAGCTGAACTGGAGCTGTGGGTTGCACTGCTTTTGTTATTGATAAAATTGGATATTTATCAGAAAGAGCAGTTTCTGTTTCCCATAAAATTGAAGGATTTTGCATTAAGAAGCATAATGTATAAATACAACAAGGTCATGCATTTCAAACACTCATTATGTAAGATGGTCATAAATGTGTTTTTAATTAAAATATATGTCTGCTTTCTTCTTATTCACTACTGAATTAATCCGTGATTGCTGTGACTTATTAATAGGGAAAGCAGTCTATAATTCAAATTGAAATCTTTATTTTTAGACAAAGTCAATAGGAAATAAAAGTTAGATTTCTCTAATCTTATTTACTTCCCATTTGATACTGCACTACTAAAATAATTTAGGCCCATGAGGTATGAAAGATATTAATAGTTCTAGTCAGAACACTGAGGTACAATAATACCAGTACTTTATATAATAGTGTAATTTATTTTTTGTTTCCTTATTCTTTTAAAAGTAACAGCAAAGTATCATTGGATCTCGTTAGCAAAGGGATTGTTGTAGTTTGGTGATATTTCAGTTATTTATACTTTTACCAGGGATCCATAAAAATCCAGTTTGTTTCTACACTTGTCAGAGGATACCTTGACACTTTTTGTGACTTGGGTACAACAGCCCATGAAGTCCAGGAAGAAGTGAATCAGACTTTTGTTGGCATAAATACTGTGAAAATCTTAGATGCCTCACTATTTCCTGCTTCCTGTCACTGAATTTTTAACTGAAGTTCACAACCCTTTCTGAGTCAGCAGCTCTGGTACGTGTTATTTCTGTTGGTGCCAGTTTTCTACTGCCACAAAAGGTGTTAGTGCTCCTCCACTGGCCTGGCCTTCCAGCCACTTCTTTACCTTCCTCTATTTCTGTCCTCATTTGCTTACATTGAAATAAGAGGTGCTGTGTACTTTAATGAAAAGTAGTTTGGTATTTTTATAATACGCATTGTATCTAATGAATTATACAAGTCTTTGAGTAGTTACCACACAAAAACCAAGCCCTATTTACTGTTCCTCAGCAGTGCCTTCAGAAAGCCAGGGGCCAAGCTGACTGCAGTGCAGCATCCACAATCTTTATTTAGATATCAAAGTTCTCACAGACTAGACATGTTCCTGGGGTGTAGGATTATTTTTAAATTACTTCCCTTGAGTTTTAAAGTCACCCATTAGACAAAACATGATGTGACTTCATTGGACATGATGACTATTCCTAGAGCATTATCCTATCCAGAGGTAACTTAAATTAACTTTCTTTCATAGCAGAGGATCACATCCCTCTTGATGTGTCCAGTTTGACCCGTGTCCGTAGATTCTCATAATTAATGAAGGCAAATGTGATCATGGGGAAGTGCCTAGACAGTGGTGGTGAAAACAGGGTGTAAATGTTTCCTGGAGCTCTTAAACAGGGTGGATGTGCTAAAGATCCTGCAGATCTCTGTTCTTGTGAAGATACTATTTATAATTTTCATTAATGAGTTGGCTGATGCAGCAGAAGGAGTTTCTTTATTGTACAATATTCTGCTGAAAGGAGATTGCAAACAATTTGAAAGGCATGGTTAGAACTCAATATGATTCCTGTAATGATTAAAAAAGACAAGGATAAATGCTACACTTTAAAAAAAAGCATCTTCATAGATAGTGGATAAGAAGTGAACATTCACTTCTGAAAAGGATTTCAAGTTTACAACCTATGAAAATGAGTCATAAGTAGCAATATGTAGCAAAAAAAAAAAGGAAAACAGGATTTATTAACATGTTCTACAGCATTTTTTCATTCTTTTTCTTGACAGCAAGTGTCAACTACATTACTGGGATCTGGTTTTAGGCACTGTATTTCAGGAAATATAGGAGCTGATTAGAGGGCAAGAAGACATTACTAAAGGAGGAGATTGAAAGAAGTGAGTCATTTTAGGGAGGACATGTCTGAAATGAGTCTTTGAATAGACAAATTCTGCTGAAAGAAAATCAGAATAAATATGACAAATTTTTGTCTCTCATTAGGCTAGGAATGGAAATTGCAGACTTGAAAAGCAGAAGGGGAAATTTGAGTTAGACATGATTCAGGAATAACTGCATTTATAAATTGTATGAATACTGAAGAGCGAGTTAACTCCCTTGGGATTTGGGGAACCAGCATCATTTCAGTTCTTTAAAAACAAATCAGATAAATATCTGTCAGCAGTGGTAAAGCTGAAATTTGCTCTGCCTTGGGCCAGACAAGCAGAGGGACAGAGCAGAGGCCAGGACCCTTCAGTCAGGGACAGACAAAGAAGATCCAATAACCACCCTGGAAATGGGAAAACATTTGAAATGGAAGATGCTTTCTGAGAACTGGGAGAATTGGGGAGTTTCTCCCAGAAGAGGCAATTGATGCTTTACTGTATTGCTTGCTTTATTATTTAGCTTTCATTTGAAAAGATTAACATCATATTTTTGGGGTAGAGTTGGGAGAGAAAGCAAGAAGAAAAAGTTGTTTACTTAGGAGGCAAGAGGAAGAAGAGGAATGTGTAGGCATCTGTCTAATTGGCTTGGCCTGCCACAGACACCCCAGCAGTACCTTGGACTTTGATTACTGTTTGCTTTTCCTTCTGTCATTATCACAGGCACTATTAACGAGAGCCCAAACTAATTAGCTAATAAGCAAAAGCTGAAAGTGGCAAATAGTTTTAGAAAACAAGTCTGTTTTTATGCCAATGACAAACTGAATCCACATTTAGCACATTAAGTCAGCATTGCTAATCAGGCAAAAATCTGAATATAGATGTTGGTGAACCAAGAAAATATCTTTTGTCAATAAAGCTTCTGCCTACACCTTTGAGCTATTCTGGGGAAAGAACTCTTTCCCTAGTTTAAATTGTAACTGCAGTGGGAGTAGATGGGTGAGGTTAGCAGGATGGTTAAATATAACTAGCTAATTTAAATATAGCTATATCAGCAAATGTTCAGCTACACACATCTCCTAAATTGTCTTCTGTAGAATAACACTTCCAAAATTCTTCAGAGACAGCACATCAACAGAGATCACTTTAACTTAAAATTTCACAGGAGAACTGAGAATCTATTTTGGGTTTATGAACTTATTTTGAGATTACATAGATATTTAAGTGCCATTTAGAAAATTTTAGTAGCAATGCTTTCAAAGGTCCAAGAAATGTTATTAAGCCAAAGCATAATCAGCTGGTCATGCTTTTGTATGAATTACCAGCAGTCATGTGAATGTTAGAGGATATTATTTTTATTTCTAAAATGTCAGATGTGAACATGGCATCCCAGAGGCACTCTTAGTCTTTGGGATTCCTGGGCTATGAAGACTGAGTAAATTGCACAATTATGTGCTAGAATGGGCACCAGTGAAGCAGTGAGTTACCATGTAATTTTTAACCAGACAAGTAATTGGGGGTCTTTACATTAAATTCTGTTTGAAATGAGAAACCTCTGCTTTGTCCATGCAAAGAGAAAATAATAAGAATAATAAGAATTCAAGTAATACATATACAGAACATAGACAGCCTTCTTCAGCTGGAAATTATGAAGTTCAAGATAGACCATAGGAAGGACTGTGACCTCCTGTCTGCAGGGAAGAGGGAAAATCAGAGAAGGCCTAAGTTAATATCTACAGGATTTAATTACCTGAATATGAAGCAAATGTCTAAACTCTCCTGATGATGTTTGTCTAAATTATTTGCTCAACTTCATTTTAAATTCACCACACTCTATTTTTTCTATTGCACTGGTAAACTGAAAATCAAATATAGGGTATAACTCATGGAGAAGGAAGGAATTTAAACTACTGTTATGCTGAAGGAGCATTAGAATGGGTTATAGGAGTCAAATATCCTGGTCTGGGTCAGAGGCTTCGTGGCTGCCCATGAGCCACATCCTTGCTGAGCATGGGGCAGGACAGGGTGGTTGTGCTGCATATTCCTTAGAGAGCATGTGTAACAGATGGATCAGTGTTATTATATCCTTCTTAAAACAGGTAAACCCCTACTCATCACACACAAAATCCACAGCAAAACCCAACTCTTTTAAGCACCCTTATTCCTCTGTGGTCACAAGATCACAGTGCTTTATGCACAGTGAAACATGCTGTGACATTTTCATTTCTGTAGGATTCTCTGTGTGAGAGGGAAAGCTTCTTCCTAACTCAGCTGAAGCAGCAAAACTCATAGACATGATGAATTTAAGGATCTTATATATTCCAGTTGATCCTTCTTAACTCATTTTTATCCACTTAGGCAATATATAGGACTGGGTTTCTCAAAACCAGTATTCTAATATTGCTTTATTTCTTGAACTGTCAAAGGAATATGAAAATAACTACTCACTTTGCCTTCTTTTCATTCAGTGACAGTCCTTGCTATTTTCCATGAGCTGAATGTGGATACAGATTTATACACACTCCTGTTTGGAGAGAGTGTCCTAAATGATGCTGTGGCTATCGTGCTGACACAGTAAGTTACACCCACTTCCATTCTTTACTTGGTGAGATAATTAAAGCTTTATTCACTGATATAGTTTGTTCAAGTATAGCTATAGCATTTGAAGGTTATGTTACAAAGATGTAGTTTTAGCATTTTTCTTGGTTTGTTAACATTAGAATTCTAATATTGTTCATAGCAACTGTACATCCAGAATGCAATTTTAGTTAATGTTCTTTAATCCAGAAAGCAGTATATTCTGTAAAATGGTGAACTTAATTTATTATTTCTTTTCTCATCTAAACAAGGTATCTTGAAACAATAATGCTAATGGAGCACGCAGGACATAGGGCAACTATAAAATTCAAGTTCTTTTTATTTTTTGTAATCTATTATTTTCTAATATTAAAACCACAAAGTGGTACACAGTGTCTGTTTATCTACTTCTGTCTATGGAAGCTGGCAGAGCTTCAGCTGATAATGTTATCTTAAATTTATATATAGCTTTTTATTCTCAGGAATCCTCAAACAGATCACAAATGGTGGGCCAAAATCACACAAGTGTGTGCTGTCCTAAAAACACAGATGCTAAGTACATGATTAAGGGGATCTCAAGTTTACTCCACTCTGCATGTATTATATGCTTCCCAGAGCTTTGCTAGAAATACAAATAATCCTCAGATAATCTTAAAAGTAACAGAACTGCAAAGTCAAATTCAGTTCTCCACGATGTTTGAAGGTGCTTCACAGTAAGTCTCGACTCAGTGCCAACTTTCTCCTTAAATTCCTTGAACAAGGATTTATCCTATCTTTCAGAAAAAAAACCCTTCTTTTAAAGAGTTTACAGTACTTAAAAAACGAGCTTAATATTTTGTCTGAAACCCCACGGAGTTATTCTAAAACTGCATGGAGTTTTGCAACAATAATAATTGTTGCAAAAAAAAAAAAAAAAAAGAAAATACCAAATTTGTTTCACAATACAAAAAAGAAATAGTATTCTTTTTAATCATTCTTCAATTATCAGTCTAGTAACCTCCACCCACACTAAACTCCTCTCACAGTTTTCAGAGCAAGAGCAATGTTTTCAAGCACTGTCAAGCCTCTGAGCACGGCAGCTCACGATCAGATACAGCGTGGCTGGCACATCCAGGGACTGGGGCTGGAATGTGTCACTTGGGAGAGCTCTGGTACATCAGATAATAAAATGCACAGAAGGAAAAGTAAGCAAAGACCAGACAAACTCGGTAGAGAGAACTGACAAAGGCGTTGAAGCAGCTATTGCAATTGGAAAGAAGAGTGTAGGTGGCAATGTCTGAGATTTTTATCTCTCTCCCTTGGCATTGTTTAATAACAACCTAGACATTTTCTGCTCATTTAGACTCCTCATCTGTTAGTGCAAGGCTCCCAGAGAGGAACAGTAAGGCTCCAAATAACCCAAGGGAACCCAGAGTGTTTTAAGTCTCTCTAGTTTCAGTCGCCCTGATGCCAAAGCACACAGATCTCCCAAAAGAGCAACTCAACTGCAGAACAAATCTAAAAAGGAAAGTCCCATCAGATTCCAGCTCCATCAATATTCCAGTACATGATCCATGAGTTCCTAAACTCTGCTCTTCCCTGTACTCAAGTCTAGGTTATGCACCTCAGACTATCTACTTCTCATGCCTTCTTTGCTGTTACATGGGAGATTACAAATCTTTATTATAGAATCTCTTGTTACTGGAAAATTGATGTGGTTTTTTATATATTCACTGTCACTGATTCTTTGATTTCTATAGTCATTTGTGGAGACTGAAGAGGATACATGGCATCATCAGTTTCACATTTCTTTACTCTCTGGCTTAAATAATTAGCTTCTGCACAAATACAATACTTCTGCAACCCAACATAATCTTCCTGTAGCATTTTAAGTAAAGATATACTGTTAATATTGCCAGCTTCACGTCATTAACACCCTACTAAACCAACCTGAGTTTAACTGAAGAAAATTGTTTTCTGTCACTGCAAAAGAACAGCTATTTTTTTTCCTGTAACCCATACCATTCTTGTGTGCAAACACAACATGTTCATAATTACAGTAATAGAAGTCTATTTTAAAAGGTGTGAGAATAATGTTTACAAAACTGGAAAAGCAATAGTAAGTAATTTAGTACGCTACATAATGATAACCAGAAAAATAGAATATGCAAATAAACATTGTCTTTCATTATCTAACAGAATAAGTAAGATAATGTGTGCAGGAATGACTCACTGCACAAGAGTTAGGAAGAGAAAAGAGAGAAGGCCCTTATGGCTGGAGGTGAAAATTGGCAAGGTGAAGGCAGTATGGCTGTCTGCCAACAAGGGCTTAGATTGATCTCTCTCCTTCCTTTCAGCTTCTCCCTCCAATCTCTATTTTTCCTGTGCTCTTTTATCGTTCAGTTTAAGCAGGACAGCAGCAGGACCAGCCACCCCTGCATTTTCTATGCATTTAGCAAGTCACACGAGCTGTGTTGCTGCAAGAGTGTGCACGCAGTGGCCAGCTGCCCCCAGAAAACACTAACCAAGGACAGAGCTCTCTGGGCAGGTTTAACTGCTCTCCTCTGGCCACCCTGCCTCCCCAACACCTGGGTGTTTGTGATAATTGCAAGATTTCGTTTATAGTGTGCTATTTTAAGATAATCCGTGCAGGAGGGATCACTGTGACTCAAATTGACAGCAGTGGCTGCAGGAAGGCTGACAAGCTGTTCTGCATAGGGGACAGCTCACACACACAAGGGCATTGGAGATGCAACGAGGATTTTCTCATATAGAAATCACTTCCAGAGTTTCTTACAACTTGTCATTATTAGGATAAAATTCTCCTTTAAATAAAAACGTGAGAATTCTCACAGAAAATAAACATCAAGAATTCAAAGTATTTGAGAAAAATTATAGCAAAGCCTTACAAGACAATACTTATTAGATTATTAAACATGTCTGCTTTTACCCAGAAAAACCCATTTGACTAATTATGCCACAAATATTTCCTAAATACTTTATTTTCCAGAATACTGACTGAGGAAAGTCCTGATAAAAGTAGTTTCATGGTCCTGAACATGGTTTCATGAATATATGCCAACTCAGGTGATAGTACCTCTTTTGCTCAAAAAATACTTTGATTCTAGTCTAGACATAGCTTATTCAAGTTAATATCATGCTCAAACCATTCTTTCTTGGCAGAAGCTTGTATAGGGCTTTCTAAAATAACATGGCAAAGGTAACTGATTTATTGACAGGGTAACAAATTTATTGAAAAGCAGTATCAATTTCCAGGGGAAATAACTCAGAAGCCAGAATTCAGTTTAGTTTGTGCTGAGCACCCTCTAAGGTTGTCTTTTCTCAGACAGTAATTCCTATAATTGTCTTAGGCAGACAAGAGAATTCCTTCTAACACATTGGTGATTCTTAATGATAGGCACAGTCACCATATTACTAATTTTAGTACAGTTTAGATCTTTTCAAAATATAAGAAACTCTTGTGATATAATGGACTTCAAATAGAAAATGAATAAGAATCTTTAAGCCTTTCTAGTTCTAGGTACTTTTTTACCTGTATTATTATTTCAGTGGGTTTAATTCTGTTATTGTGTCATTGAACTTGAAGGTAGCGTACACAAGAGAGAAATGCAATCAGAGATTATAGAAACAGACACTGGACAAACAAGTTATAAGTATTCAGTCTATATTTCATGTGGTCATTGGCCTGGTGAGGTAACTGTCCATTATCTGCAAGTGTTACTTCCCTACTTTTCACAGTTTCTAATTGTTGTTCCTTGTGTATTATATATTAAAATCAGCTGTTCTGTGAAGGACAAGAACAGTAACTCTGCTGCTGAATAATTAAGGTGGGAGCTAGGAGTTGCAGGAGTAATATGGGCTTTGAAAGTTATGATGGGTATCTCCTTGGTGCATATCTCAGTAGATGTGAAGCTCCCTTTATGATTATATTTTTCTTTTTTCTTTTGTCACGGACTGTCTCTAATTTCCATCCTTTTCCCTTCTACTTTAAAGGCATTATTCTGTACAGTTTTTGCCACACTTTGATCCCTGAGCACATTGAATAACAAATTTTACAGAGAAAAGACATCTGAATGTTCTCACATCATATTTTTCCCACAAACTGCAGTTATATTCAGAAAGTGGCCTTTAAAATGAAACTGTGGACTTCCATATGTACTGTGTTAAAGTCTTTTGTTTCACTTGCATCAATTAAGAGACAAAGACTTTTCTCTTAGCTAATCCTTTGTTTCAGTTTCCTCCCCAGCTGTAGGTAACTGGGAGTTTGTTCAGTCTAAGAACACAGGGAATTCTGTCAGCCTGAATCCCCTTCCTCATGCTGAGATTTGTTAGGCACTATTAGCAAATGGCAAAAAAGCATTGAGTCATCACAGAAGAAAAAAAAAAGAATGCTAGTTTCTCTATAGCCTTTATATTTTAGCCACCTTTTAAACCCTGTATTCTTGCAAATTCTTAGTGTCTTTTACAATACTATCTCAGCCACTGGATTAAAAATGAAACTCATTTAAGTTCTGTTTATTTTCAACATGTATCTAAGTGCAGACAAGATGTTATTCACACATCCTAGGCATATCAGTACATAGAAATAGTGTAAAAAAAACACTTATCCACAAGTGGGTCATGTATACACAGCTAATAGGTTTAGTGTACCTACACTTAGAACTCTTCAGCCTAGATAATTCTTTTTCAAAAGGATAAAAGCCTTACTCCTTGCCAGCTAATGTACAAAGTGTGCACAGAGCCTTTCCAGGAAGGAAAGAGGGGAAATAAAAGCACCTGTAAAAATAAAAGCCATCAGACAGGTGACAGAAAGGTAAAAAGTATCAACACATGCAACATTTTCCTGTTCAAAGGAAATAGATTTCTAAGGTGAGAAGAGACTTTATGAAAATGAAGTGAAATGAAGATTTAAGGTGAAATGAAGATGTACAAAAATGAGCTGGTAAAAGCAACAAATGGACATGGTGAAGCATGGCTAGGAAAAAGAAGCAAGGAAC